GGTACTGACAGGTCTGCGCGACTGGCCCTCTGGGTCTGTGTGCGGAGTAAAAGCATGAACCTGGTCACCCTGGTGCCAAAAAGGTTTAAACCACCCCCCAGTCCATCCGATGCTAAATTGACAAACCAAAACATGCACTTTGCCGAGCCTGCTTTCGACCGGTGCCACAAAATTGGCTAATCTAAGGGCATACTTACACTAGGGCCTTTTTACTTATTTATGGACGTTATTGCCGTCGGATGCATCCAGGTGTGTGGCCGTAATTGCAGTCAGATGCATTTTTAAAAGTGGTAGTGTGAGTATGCCCTAAGGTGGTACCGGTACCAGCAATGTGTGTGACAAAAAGGGACAGGCAGGCAGTCCTCGTCATCGTGGCACTTCCCTTTTTTTAATTGTGGGCCACCAGCCCACCCCCACCTAACCTCTACCGTGCCTGGGCACTGTCGATTGGCCCAGGGCTCGTCAAGGAGTAAAAATCTACAGTGTTCCTGCCATTGGACTGGTGGTTTAACCAGTGTGCATGAACCTGGTCCCAAAAACGTGAACCTGGTCCCAAAGAAGTTAACCAGGTTGTAACTGACTTGACATATCCGTATGTGGGTGGGGCCTGCGGTTGAAGTCTGTCGGAGCCCGTCAGAGGGCCATGAGGCAAGGGGTTTGAAAATCTGCGAGGGGGGGTAGGAGGTAACCCTTATTGCTGCTGTTGGGTCCAACAGGCTTGGAGCTCTTGGCCTTGTATCAACAGTCTGCAGCACTTTTTCTAACCTGCGGGAATGCAGTTCCTTTCTTCCAAATTTTTATGCCTGTGGCTGGCTACAATGATCTGCCTCTAGTGTACAGGCATGGAGTCACCTGTAGCGTCTCTCTCTCTCTCTCTCTCTCTCTCTCTCTCTCTCTCTCTCTCTCTCTCTCTCTGTGTAGCTGGCTACAAGCATCTGCCTCTCATCTGAACAAACACCCTGATTCCACCAGGGAGGATGTGAAGTTAGTAGATTTGCCGATTCTTTTGGTCGGAGAGAGAGAGAGAGAGCTTGTCGTGCTTGCTGGGAAGATGGTATGGGATCTCTTGTCTGCAATGATGGTGGTTTGTTATTCCCACTGGCTGTGCTGTACAATCGTCGTTGTTAACGAGGACAGATTCGTCACTAACACAGTCATTATTAAGTATCACAAATTCTTGTTCTTCCCTTTACTGCTGGATAGATGTCTCCTTGTACTTATTTTGGAGATGTCTTGCGGTCTCTCTTCTTCATCAGGGTCCAAGACGAACTGCAGATCGAGGAAAACAGAAGACCAAAGATGGAGCAGCGCAAGGGAAGAAAAGGGAGGAGAAGGTAAGGACAAGGATGTTGACTCCAAAAGATGGAAAGTTTGAAGCCTCCAGAGTGAAATGGGAATCTCTCTCTCTCTCTCTCTCTCTCTCTCTCTCTCTCTCTCTCTCTCTCTCTCTCTCTCTCTCTCTCTTTTTCTTTTCTTTTTTTCTGGTCATAACTTCGTATATCCTTTTACCGTGCTGAGCATGATTGTTTTGAGACTGCTTGATGGGCTGAGAGCGGTGGGGTCTTTGCAGCTTTTGCCAATTTCAGCTGTAATGCAAGAGACTGTGCTGTGTCACTTTGTGACCTCTCTCTTTTATGCCTGCTACTCGCTACTTGGATTGAGCTCGGATGACAGTCTTGTCGTCTTCTCAGATGCTGTTGGCAACAGGGTCTGAATCATCTGCCAGACAAGGTCCTGGCCGTCTTCTGACAGGGATGTGTGCAGTGTGGCGTGTGTGTGTGTGTGTGTGTGTGTGTGTGTGTGTGTGTGTGTGTGTGTGTGTGTGTGTGCTTGGCCTTGGCTATGAGTGACTGGTTGGTTGTTGTTTGCGTGGTGTGAATGGAGGATAAGCGGAAGAGGTGCGTGTTCCTGTGTGTGTGTGTGTGTGTGTGTGTGTGTGTGTGTGTGTGTGCACGTGCTTGGCCTTGGCTGTGAGTGAGTGGTTGTGGTTTGCGTGGTGTGAATGGAGGATGAGCGGAAGAGGGTATGGTTGTGAGTCATCAGGTTGTGTGAGTTTGATGAGAAGCCATGACCTGGAACAGGTTCCCGAACCTTTTTTTCGTTGTTTGTTTTTTTCCTTGGAAGTTGGAAGGAGTTAGCTCCCTATTAGCATCTGAACTCGTGATCTGTTTACCAACAGTTGCATGTTTGCACAGTTAGCGAGACCAGGGGCAAGGTGTGGCTCTCTCTCACCTTCTCAGTTCCTCGTCACTGAGAAAGTGCAGCGTGATCTTTTTGTGTTTGGCCGTTTGCAGGCAAATGGGGACAAAATGAAGAGAGGGGCCTCGGCTGGCGAGAAAAAAGACGGACAGAAGGTGCGAGTCCAACCACAAGCCCTGGGTATGGGTGTTGAATTCGAGATTTATTTTGTAACAACATATCTATTGCGAACTGCCTTCGATGGTGATGAGAGAGAGAGAGAGGGCGGGAGAGAGAGAGAGAGAGAGAGAGAGAGAGAGAGAGAGAGAGAGAGAGAGAGAGAGAGAGAGAGAGAGAGAGAGAGAGGTGGATGGGTGGGTAAAGTGGTGAATAGTGAATGGAGGAGTGCTAAGTAACACCTGGGACTTCCCACGTCATCGGCGCGATGATCCCTACAGCCTCCACTGTCACCCTGAGGATAGAATGGCATGCGGAATGATGGTGATGATTCAAAGGACGATTGCAGAGAGACAGAGGGGGCCAATCAACACAAGGATAGAGTGCATAGAGAGGCACATGGGTAATGAGCACTGCAGAATGAAGTGGGCAGAGGTCGATGCCATGGGCTGAGGAATGTAGGTTAGATGAGAGCAGAAGAGGCACATGGGTGATGCACACTATGGAATGACGTGGGCAGACACAAAGGGTTGTGACGAGAAGAATCGAGGTGACACACACGTGTAACCAGACAAATGCAGAGGATTACTCTGTCAACAGAAGATGGGCAAGAGTGAATTGTATATCTCTGTCTTTCCTTCCTTTTAATTTTGCTGCATGCCTGTCTGTATGCTTTGTGTGTGTGAGGCAAACAAAGCCATCACAGCTATGAGCCATCATCAGATACTCCCTTCTAAAGCCGGACTTGCTCTGTGCTGGGCACGTAGTTGAGCTGCACAGCCTCGGGTATCGGTTAGAGGGCTGTGTTTGGATGCCGAGGATACAGCTTGGGAACATCTGGCTGTCTTTGCTGAACGCTCTGTGCTCGCTTTTCTGGAGCATGCGCAGCCTTTTGTATCTTTTTTGGTGGGGGACTGTGATCTGGCGGTGGCGATTGTCGTTGAGGGGACTGTGTTCGGGCGGTGGCCATTGACTTTAGGGACGTGTGTTCCTTTTCCTCAAATTACATGTTGCTGGCTTGTTGCGATCTTTCACAGCCTTTAGGTATGTAAGCGGAGGGCTGTGTTTAGAGTGCGTGGTCAATTCAGTTTGAGAGCATGCAACCGTCTTTTCCAGTTCTGTGCGCTAGATTTTCTAGCAACCATCTTTTCCAGTTCTGTGCGCTAGATTTTCTAGAGTGTTGGTAAGCTGTTGAGGGAACATGTGGCTGTTTTTCCCAGACCTGTGCCATGTGACTAACTGTCAGTGGGTTGCTGTGGAGGGAACATGTCGCAGCTGAGGTCTCTGGTGAGGGAACAGAGGTCTGCTATGTGCAATGAAACGGGACCTCTCTTGTTGTCTCAATTGCAACCCTCTGTGATGGGAGGTGTGATATTCCCACTGCTGAAGTGCCGTGTCTCTGCGAGAGCTTGTTGACTATAATGTAATGCAGGACCAGACCTGTGCCGTGCGCTTCTGCTAGTGCGAGTAACAGTCCCTCCCATATCTTTCCACTGATGGTGTGCCCTGCAAATGGTATTTTCTGTTGCCTTCTGGAGGATCGATTTTTTAGGCTCTGTTATTGGAAACCTGCACGATTTGAATTGGTGGTAAGCAGAAAATGAGACTCTGATGTGTTATGAACCTTACGATTCTTTTCCTGCGAGAATGGCTGAACGAGTAAACAAGGGAAAGGTTCCAGACAACGGGAATCGGGCACTGAGAGCGGGAACTTGGCAAATGTAGGTGTTGCATTCTTTAAGCACCAGAATGTAACAGGAATTTTGTGTGTGTGTGTGTGTGTGTGTGTGTGTGTTTTGAAATTTCACCACAACAGCCCCTGTTCCACCCAGATGTGTGTGTGTGTGTGTGTGTGTGTGTGTGTGTGTGTGTGTGTGTGA